CAGCTCGGCAGAAGCCCGCGGGCGGCTGGCCGACCATGGGCAAGGACGGCAACGTCCGCGGCGGCGAGTCGCGGGAGCAGCTCCTCGGCCTCACGCCCGAGCAGCTCGCCGAGCAGGCCCGCCTCGAGAAGGAGGCGCTCAAGGCCGCCTTCGTCGCCCGGCCGAAGAACGCCAAGGGCATCGCCATCTCCGACCGCAGGTCGCGCCTGTGCATCGTCATGTAATTAGCATATGGACCCCAAATACCCCAGACACCTGCGGTTTACTACAAGTAGATCTAGCGCAATCTGACCTCGACCTCGTCCGCGGCGAACTCCTGAAACTCCGAAAGGAGATCTCGCAAATAGCCAGGGATGTTCGGATCAAGCTCCTGAGTGAGCCAGTACACATAGAGGGGCCTGTAGAGGCCCTCCCAGGGCTCACCGCCCGATTCGAGGCGCTCGAGAGAAGCTCCTTCAAATCACTTGCGGCCGCCTCCATCTCGCCAGATCCGAGTTTCTCGAGTTTGTCAACGTGCGCAAATAATTCCATCAGGCGTTGCACCTTGCCGGGGTCGGAACCGCTGTCGAGCCCACGCTTGAGGTGCGCCAGGAACTTGTCATTGGCGGCGAACTTGTCTCTGGCGGCGTCTGTAACGATGACATCGATCAGGTCGCTCCTTCTCGGGGTAGGGTTCGGTCCTGATGAGATCGTGTCCGTTGAGGCGCGCCGCGAGGTCGTCCGTGGCGGCGTCGTCCTGGACGATGGCCGTGAAGCTCTTGAGCATCGTCTTAATGAGCAGGTCGAGGCACGGTTTGTACGACGTGATCGTTATAAAATGCGGTTCGCGGTCCTCGCTGCCAGCGATCACTGCGCTGGCGTGCTGCGACGAGAGCCAGCGCGGAACGACGTCGACGGACCTCGGGAGCATCTGCTCCGGGCCGAGGCGGTGGCGGCGGTCACCCTCGAAGAGAGTGAGGAGGGGGGACAGCATGAAAGGCCGTTTGAAGCGGTCGAGGCCGCGGACCTCCGGGTGGTCGCGGTCGAATTCAAGGACGACGGCGGGCAACGCGCTGGAGTCGAGTACGGTGCAGGGCCGGAGGGCGTCGTCCCCGGGGTAACGGCCTTCGATGCGCTCGCCGTCGGTGAGTTCCGGCGCGACCCACCAGTCCCCCCCATCAGAAGTGGCGGGGTCCTCGCCGCGCACGCGGTACGTCGGGGGGTTGGCCGAGGGGTCGAATTCGACGGTGACGACGGAGTCGGGCACGCGGAGAAGGCCTTCCTCGACCTCGGCCGCCGTCTCGGTGCCGGGCGCCATTGCGTGCTTGGCCGCGAGGTTGGCCTTGTCGAAGAAGGAGTCGACAGACGCGCGCCAGCGCGCGACGCCGTCCGCGTCAGTGGCCTCCCTTCCGTTTCGGTGCGGCCGCGGCGCGCAGATACCCGTGGGGATCGTCGTGAAGAACCTGTTGAGGCCGAACGTTGGATCCATGCGATACAAGAGGCGTTCGAGGTCCGAGGCCCCGTCGAGGCCCCGGAGCGCGACGACGTTGTTCGGGTCGCCGCGCGGCAGGAAGACCACCGTTGATAAGCTCTCCATACAGGCGGTGAAATGGGCCAAGGCCGCCCAGTCCTGACGGACCCGCGGCGACGTCCCTGGGCTTTCATCGGGCACGAGGACCGCGGCAAAGAGCGGAATGTCCCTTGTCTTGTTTGCCGTGCTTATGGTCTCCGCGTCGCGGCCGCAATAATCGGCAGAGTCGATGATGAAGACAACAATTCGCTTCTCCGCGGCGTCGAAGGCGTCAATATCGATGGGCGCCGCGCTTCGGATCTCGTCCGCGGCGACGCCTGCTGATATCCATCCGCCCGCTGATCAAAAGTGTGGCAACGCCCGAGACTCGATGTAATTCCTCCATGATGAAGTCCCAAGTTCGCTTCCTGGACAAGAAAGTTTGTGCCAAACGCGCAGGCATCGCTACACTCCCGAAGTCGCAATGAAGCAGAACAAAGGTGAGTGGAGACTAGGGCAGAAGAACATCCGGTGTCGATTGCAAGCGAAGGGCCTTGGAGTCCCATGCTGTAGGACAGTCGACCAGCCGTTCCGCGCGAGCGCTTCCGCCTCCGCGCCGACGCAGACGGTCCACCATGGCGCCGCGCCGGCGCTCCGCGGTGGCAACGGTACGTCGGGGCCGTAGTCGATCATCTGCGCGGACCGCTCCCAGGCATCGACTTCTCGGAGTAGCAGAACACATTTGTCACTGCCTTCTGCCAATTCGCCCTCTTCTATGCCGCCGCCAACGACTGCCCAAATGTAGGCGCGTCTCGAGTAGTGCATGTCAAACTGCTTGAGGAGCCACCTGAGCTCGGCTGCGTTCGCGTCCGTCGCGTCGAACCAGAGGTGGTTCGCGTGAAGCTGGGACGCGACTGCCGCGACAAGCATCGAGCGGTGCTTCCCAAACGCGACGTACTTGGCGCGTGACACGAGCGCGAGGCGGCCACGTTCGCGCCGCGCCACGTCCCACTGCGGGCGGACGGTGGCCGAGTGGTCGCTATCCAAGTCATCGACGTCTGCGTCGCCGGGCACTTGCGCATAGGTCGCGGCGACGACTTCGCTTCGCATGGGGTGGTAATCGTCCGTGCCGCCCCGCAACACGAGATCGACCTGGCCGCCGACGAGGACAGTCGAGTAGGGCCAAAGCGCGTCCATAGCCGCGTCGGCAACCGAGGCGCGCGTCGGGACGACGAAGAGGACGCGGATGAGGGACCGCGGCGACACGCGTGCAAAGAGTGCGGGGAGGAGATCATAGGCGGCAACAGCGCCGCTCGGCGCGAGGGGGTCGACGATGACGACGAGGGCACCCTTCTCCGCCTTTGCGCAGAGCGCGGCGACGACGCCGTCGACGACACGTGCGCAGTTGTCCGCCCGATTATCCCGAAAATACACATGCGGCACGGACCCGCCTGGATAGAAGGCCGTGTCCGAGAAGTCGTCCCAGGGCCAGCGGCCGCCGTTTGCCGTCTCGGGGCCGTCGAAGTGCCGCGCGCCAAAGGTGAGCTCCCACGCGCCGGGCAGCCAGGCCACGCCGTCCCGCCAGCAGAGCACGGCCGCGCGCTCCTCGGCGGGGCTCGGTCGGATCGTGAGGGAGGCGGTCTTCGCGGCGCGGAGGTCGCCCGCGTCGAGGGCGGCGAGGACGCGCGGCCCGGCCTCGTGGCGGTACCGCAGCGTCGCGAGGCCGCAGCCCTCGACGCCGAGGAGCACGCGGACCATCTCGGGCGAGTCGACGGCGGCGGACGCCGCGATGTCGACTGCAGACCGACCGTAGGCATCGCGGCGCGTAGGCGCGTAGGCGCGGAGCTTTGCGGCGGGGCGTGCGAGAAGCGGCGCCAGCGCGCGATTCGCCGTCGCGAGGCGCGACGCCGCACCCACGAGGGACCGCGACGCCAGGAAGTGCCACAGAGTCCCGCGCGGCGGCGGCGGCCGCGGCCGCTTGTGAAACACCTTGACGCGCACCGTCGTCGGGCGTCCGGCGGGTGAGGCCTTGGCGGGCTCGTCATCGTCGTTGTCGTCGTTGTCTTTGACGTCGTTGTCGTCGTCGTCGAAGACCGTCTCGACGCGATCCTCGTAAGTGAAGGGCACGAAGGGCACGGGCTCGCCTTGGGCGTCAGCGCGCGCGACGAGGCGCGCGACCGACGCGACCGCAGCCGGTGGCGGGCCCGGGCCGCAGGACGTGTCGGGCGCCTCGAAGAGGACCGTGAAGAGTTGATAGAGCGCGGTCCGCGTCTCCTCGTCGCGGAAGAATTTGGACGCACCGGCGGCGTCCGTAGCGACCCGCGTCTCCATCAGATCGAGGAGCATGGCCGTCGTAGCCCAGTCGCGCTGCGTCGCAGACGTCGTCGCCGGGAGGTCGCCGGACGACGAGACGCTGAACACGTCCGCCCCGCGGTCGACGAAGTCGCGAATCGCGGTTGCCTCCGCACGGAGCGCTAAAAAGTGGCAACTTCGAAACCCGTTCTGGTCCTTGATCGCGTCGGGCGCCGACGTCACGAGCCCGCTCGCCAGCAGCTTCCGCATCCCGACGACGTCGTTCTGAATCGACGCGAAGAGGAGGTACTCGTTCACGAAGCGCCAGACGTCGTAGGCGACGTGCCCTCCGCCCTTTTTCGCCACGATCATCTCCCGCACGTTCACCTGGAGCTCGCAGAGGTGGCCCATGATGCAGATAAGCAGCTGGCAGTCGCTGTAGCCTCCCGAGAGCGGCGCCTGCCACCGGTCGTCAAAGTCGACGACGCACTGAGCGTGGCCGTTGAGGAGCGGATGCGTGACGATCGCCTCGATGCCCGCGTACATGCTATCGAGGCTCTCGAAAATAAAGGTCCCACGGACGAGGTCCTTGACGTGGCGACAGTCGCCGCCGTATTTGATCGTCACCTTGTTCGAGGCGCGAGCCTTGGCCTTGACCGTGGGGCACCTGAGGAACTCAACGGGGTGCGCAAGATCGTCAGCGATGGCCTGGAGCAGCTCGCCGTAAAAGGGTAGCGCGGCCTCCGCTGCCGAGAGGAGGTCGTCGAGCGTCAGACTCTGCATCTCGGCCTTCTGCAGGGGGCTGCGGCAACTCACGCGCGTTGCGTTCGCGATTGCTGCGCTGATCTGCTTCGACCGCGCGCCGTACTCGCGCGCGATCGCCGCCGAGCCCTCGCCGCCCGTCAGGGCACGCTTCACGTTCTCGTAGAGGTCCGGGTCCACTCCCGCTTCTCCGGCCCCGGCGCTGCCGGACATGGCCACGATCTCGGGGAGCTTGGCGTACCAGCTGTACTTCTCTTCATTAGCGGGCAACGCAGCGACCCGCGCCTCGAACACGGCTTCCCAGTCATCGGAGCTACCCATCCGATACCAATCTACAAGCGGAGCTGTTCGGCTACCTCATCATGCCGCCGCTGGCCACTGCCTTGGGCCCGAGAACGCGGCGCCGTGGATTCCAGGCAAGGGGATAAAAGCTGACCTCAACACGATGCTCTGAAAGACCGCCGGCCGGTCGTGCTCGCCACCGCCAACGCGCGCAGCGCGCGGCGTTCCCAGCGCTGAGCAGCGAATGCACTTCAGATCATCAACAACATGTCGCATCTTGTCGACATCTCGGGTCGAGATCGAGTTCGCGTGCCTTTTTCGGCGCAGGAAGCCACGGGGATCTGGGCTGCACCGAGTTATAGGCTTCTACACGAGGGGGGGGGGTGGCTCGTCNAGAAGCGGGGGCGCGCGGGTAGGGGTTGGGGGGGGG